CTATAAATGCACATTTTTAGTCTATAAACTCTTAAGTTGAGGGATAAAAAATGTGTATATATTATAAGTTAAAGAATTAAAAAAGTATATATTTAAATATATTTAATAGAGTAATGGATAGAAAAATTTTAAAAATGTATTTTTTATAGTCGAAGAACAAAAAAATTATATAAAAAATTAAGGTTAAAAACTATATAAAATTCTAAAATTAAAGGACTAAATTAATATTTAACTAATAGCTTAAAAGGCCAAATTTTCGACACGGACTTTGTTTCACGCATAAGTTATCGTCACTTAGTCTGGGGTGTCGACAATTTGGTAGTTTTCCGCAAGTTAGCTTAAGTTCTTGTTTTTTTATTTTTTCACAATCGAAATTACATTAATAGTATTAGCATCTATTCGAAAGATGGGGAAAATGTCGAATCTAGGACTCGACCTGATGATCCCGGTGCCTACACTTGCTTTTCATTCAATGAGAAGCATGACCGCCACTGCAGCCAAATGGTAAATGGTAAATGGTAAAAGGCGCTCGCTTAAGTTATTGTTATTTTGATGTGGGTTCTACTTTTACTCCGATTAAGTTTTCTACACTTCTATAAATACACATTCAACAGCAGCACTTATGAGAGCTTTTGGAGGCTTTTGACCGCTTTTTTTTTGAGCCACACTTGCAAATTAAGTTGGTGGTAATATGAGTTTATCAGCAATAAAAGATTAATAAAGTGTTTATCAGCAATAAAAGATTAATAAAGTGAATATTCTTAAATTAATTTTTTTTTGAGTTTTAGTTTTTATTTTGATATATATTCTTCATTCATAAATATAATTTTAATTTTACAAAAAAATATTTTTCATATTAGATTACACATTAAAAATGTAATCTTATTATTAAAATTATTAAAATACCCTTAATAAAACCTTTTATTATATTTATTCATTAAGGGTAGCATAGTAATTTTAGTGTCAAAACTACATTTTCAATATGCAATCTTAATTGAAATATGTCTCTAACTTTTAATATTTTTATTATCAACTAATTTAACCAATGGTATAACGTAACCTAATTAAGTTGATATATATTTTTATCGTTTTTATACTTTTTGATATTACTATTTTCTTACGAGTATATATTATTTTTAATGCCTTTTAATGCTTAGTTACCATTAAAATTGACATAGAGAGCATAATTGAGACTATAAGGTGATTTTATACAATGACTCTTAATAATATATATTATAAATTGAACAAAAATTGAGATGGACTAGCATAATTTGTACAATGTTAGTGATAAGTGGATGTTATTATTTAAAGTAAATTAAAAATTTTCACATAACATAATATATTTTTATCTATTTAAATTCATACAAAGATATAATGAGTTAACAAGTGAAAATAAATTTACCATAACTCAACAAAGTATATGAAATAAGATAACAAATTTTATGGTCACATGAGTACTAAATATCTTCAAAGTATAATAATAATCTAAAATTTATAATAATTGATTATAATAAAATTAAATATCATAATACTTGATATCTTGATAATTTTATTTTAAATTATTATTTTTTAATTAATTTTAGTCAAAATTACTTAACGGTACTTGAACCACAGCCCTTTGACCTTACAAAGTATAAAAGAAGCTAAACAGATTCAATTCACGGTAATTTCAAAAGGGAAAAATACCTAATATTTAAACTTTAAAAGGTCGTCAGTTTTATCCACAGTTTAATGAAGACTCATCTATAGGGATGTGGTTTTTATTATTCATATTTTGTTAAAATAACATAATTTTATTGATATATTATTAATTTAATAAT